CCTATGTGTTTGTATATATGTTGCCTTTTGTAATAAACTATTCACTTTATACAGTATCATTCTTGTTAAAGAAAAATTTAAATATTAATGATTAAACTCAGATTTCTGAGTTTAGAAAATAATTTTGAAACTATGCACATAATAAACAAATGGTAAAATTGGATTCAAATAGTAAATACAAAGAAATATTGGTTATTTTGAAGGACTAAGACCAAAAAGGCTTATATGTTTATTTTTAAATGATTCTTTTTTAAATTTTAAATTTTTATTTATTTATTTGTTCTAATTAGTTACACATGATAGCAGAATGTACTTTGAGTCCTAGTGCACAAATGGAGCACAATTTTTCACTTCTCTGGTTTTACACGAAGTAGAGTCACACCATTCATGCAGTCCTACATGTACCTAGGGTAATGATGTTCGTCTCATTCCACCATGTTTCCTACCCCCATATCCCCTTTCCTCCCTTCCCTCCTCTTTGATTATTTCTTCTCTAAACGGGAATATCTTAGAGTGTGGCGTAGTTTTTCTCTTGAAATGCCTAATACTATGTATCTTTTTGAGAGACTGTGCTATGTCTAAAAGATACTGACCACAGTTAGCTAGATCATGAGATTTTAGGTGTGGTGATCTTTCTTGTATTAATTTTTTTTACTACGCATAATAGTTGCATATCTATTTTATTTTTATGGGCAGGTTTCCTTGTAATTATAGTATATGTGTTATAAGTAATAAGCATAAGTATATTTGCAACATATATATATATATATATATATATATATATATATATATATGTAATCACATACTTGTAGGTATATACGAATACATATATAAAGTTATCTCAATCCATCTATATGGAAAACCTACCCATATGCAAAAAGTGACATTAATTTTCACCTGAACCTGGAACTTTTAGTAAAAATTGTGAGTGAGATTCATTTATGGTCATTCACACTTTGAAAGCTGATTTGGATAACTTTTAGAAAACATTTGTGAAAGAAAGTTGAATATTATCAATATCTCAAAAATAGACAAGGGGAGTAAATAATTTCATCCTAACTAAAGATTTATAATCATAACAAACTAGTACCCTAATGATTTTAAATGATCATAAATCATCCTTAAACTTGGACAGATATTGTTAACAAATGAGAAAAGCTTTTGTCTTGCTCTGTGGCTCCATTCATGTTTCTTTTGCTGTATGTACACGTGCACACATGTGTGTACACATGGTATACTGCATGATAACACCCCAGCCTCACAAGGTGGTATTTGAGGCTTCAATATGTCATTGCTGCCTCCTTTCGCTGTGATATGACCTCCTAAGTCAAGATCAGTATTTTGTAGACTACTATTGTGGAGTACCATTATGGGTTTAAAAGGTATTCCAATAACTAAACATAAGTGTTTCTGGCAGAAGGAAGGAAAAGCAAATCCAAGTGTAAAATAACCTAGAATAAATTTCTGTTACAGTGAGAATACACCTCTGTCCCTTCCACAAAGAAGCATCCCTAGGACCTCTCAAATTACACAGTTACAGGGTAGGTAGGGTGCTAGTTCCTCCTCATCTCCAACCTCTGCAAGGCCAGCTTCTCCCAGGGCTTCTTTGAAAAAAATCTTTGTTCCATGTACACGTATTTACTAGGTTATTTCCTCTAGGCTCATATTTTCCTTATCTGCAATCTAGCAATTGTCAAATGTATTCCTGAACCCTAGTTGTCCTCCTTGGACTTTAGACTAATATGCAAATAACTCTGTCCACTTGGATGTCTTAGAAGTATTTAAATTTAATAATGCTCAAAACTTCAGGTTCCAGTCCTCATCTACCCCACTCCTTACACACTTTCTGCATAGGGTCTCCCTGCAGACTTCCTCATTTCCTCAAAGTTGTGGTTTTCTGTAACACCTTTATGTTTTTCTTTTACTATCTACCACCAACCTTTGATCAGCTAAGGTTGTCCACTGTGCCTTCAAAATAGATGCAGTTCACTGCAACCACCGTAGTGCTGTGTTCATATCACACCAAGATTATTGCAAACACTTTATTGTGAAGTGGGGTCCTTGCTCCAGACTTGGCTTCTATTCTCAACATGAGTGATCTTTGAAACCTGGATGAGATTGTGTCCTTCCTCTACTCAAAACCCTCATGACTCTTATCTACTTGGAGTAAAAGGCAAAATTCTCACCATAGTTCATAAAACCTAGATGATCTAGTACACCACCCTCATCCACAACCCTACAAAGCTGTCTAATCTTATATCTCACATCTCCATCACCCTAAACTCTGCTTTTACACACAGACCTCTTTGCTGACAGTGACCCTCAAACATGCCAATCACTCTCCAGACTCTTGACTTTGGCACTTCCTGCTCCTGTGGCTTGGAACACTCTTCTAGATATCTGCCTACCTTGCTCTCTCGTTTCTTTAGTTCTCTGTTCAAATGCCACCTCCATAGAGAGGTGTCCCTGGATCACTCTATATTAAATAGCATCCCTCTTATATACTCTTGTCCTATTCATTTTTCATGGTACATGTCATTTATTTATTTGTCTTTAACAACAATGACTGCAGGATTTTTGTCTATTGGTCATTGATATCTCTAGTATCATAACAAAATTTATGTATGAATAAAATTTATTTCAGAATTACAAAACTTTGGTACTTGGTGTTAACAAATGAGAAAAGCTTTTGTCTTGCTCTTTGGCATTTCTTGAATGAATTAAGGATAACTCCATCCCAGATTTCCTATCTTCTTAAGTCTTTGAGTTTTAAGACTTTTCTCACTTCTCAACAAGAGCTACTGTCAAATCTAGGTTTTGTGTTAACTAAGAAAGCACATTATAAGAACAAAATATATCTTCTCAATCTCACCCTCCCTGTTGAATCCATAATTTCTGGTAAAAATATCTATATCAATAAATTCAGTGACATCTAAAATTTGGTTTCTTCTTCCTTAGTCAAGCATCTTCAAAGTCTATTGTCACACATCCTCCCTAACCTTTTCTGATATAAATTAGAAAGATTGTGAAAGTTTTTCCTTCTGATTTGACTATACTTGATATCAGGGAATGTCTTGATTACAGATCTGCAGGCTCTGATGAGTAGGATAAAGGAACCAAAAAGAGGATTAAGATCATTCCCTCAGGCAAGAAAGCAACAGTGTCTCCCAGTAAAACAAAAAGAGCATCATCATACATTGGCAGTAGGACCACTTCAAGTAATAAGGAAGGTTCAGTCACATTGGGGAATGGGGGATTTTGTGGTACTTTGGGTTCTCCAATTGCACTCATTTTCCCTCATTTCTAGTTCTTTCCAATTAGTGGAAAAAAAAAAAGACCTGATGAGGCTATGAGTCAATAGATGTTGCAACTTGGCAATGCACAAATGAAATTGAAATTGGATTCAGCCACCTCAGCTTGTTACCTCTGGGGAGAGGGAGGAGGTTGGAGTTTAAGGTGGTTTGCAAAGGGTTCTTCAGGCTAATCTGTAATTTTTAATTTGTATGAATAAAATTGATTTCAGACTTACAATATAGTATCAGTAGTATGAAAAATATTGTTTTTCCTTAGGAACTCAGAAAGTGGAACACTGTTCAGCTTGGTATAGCCAAACACCTCTAAGTGGCATGTATCCCAGAAGCATATTACCTGGGTTCCTTCTAACACGCAATTATGTATCCAATCCTGTAGAATATATAATATTGCCTTGTCATATGCCCTCCGATATCATCACCTGTATTCAATTTCTCAAATCCTCTGATTTGGTGATGTCCACTCCTTTCCCAGTTGCCACTCTGGTTGCTTTAAACTACAGCACTTCTTCAATGGTAGCTTATTATTAGTCACTGAATAACATCACCCCTGTCTCAAGTATCCCTTTACACCTATTTGCCCACACTGTAGAACTCAATTATTCAATAATAAGGAAAAATTGTATTTCTGAATAATCCCCCTGGCAGTGATAAGGGAGACAAGTGAGCACAAATTGAAATTGGAGGTACCAGCTGCTATTAGGAAGAGTCTGCAGTATCCTGAGGAGATAATGGGATCAGCAGCATTGACAAAGGAAAAAGAGATGGAGTTGAATGACACAAAAGGAAACTGAAGATTGTGCCTTGTAAACATGCCAAGACTATTCTAGAGGGAAATAAGATAATGGTGTTCCTCTATTTGCCCCATCTTCCTGTTAATTAAATTGTATTTAATTTATTTAATAAATCATGCTAATGCTCATAAATGAGGACTATTTATAAATAAATTAAACAAATAAATTAATTAAATAAAAGTATTTTGTCCATCTACAACTAAAAAGTTTTTTGTTTTTTTTTTTAAAAAAGAATATTATCTAGATTCGGTAATCATTATACAACTTTTCAAACAAAAGCAAATTTATATTTTACAAACAATAATTGTTTCCACATTGAAGAATAAACACATGATTTATGAGGCTTTAAAAAGATAGGAATCATAACCCTGATTACACATAAAAGAATTTTAAACAAGATTATTGTAGTGACATTACCTATCCCTTTTACTTTTAAAACCTTTTCTTGGGTAGTTCTTAAAAAATAAGGATATGTAAATGCTGTTATTCAGATACATCTAATGCTTTGTATATTTGAACTCATTATTTATTGGATGCGTGTGCCATTAATCCATTTGGCGTATTACTGCTTATCAGAAAAATTTGAAATTTTTTTCCTCCTCAGTGATAGGTGAATCTACTTCTAAGGACCCAGTTTCAGCCAACATTTTCAAAGAATGATAATATTTAGAAATAAGACCTTATCTTAATTAAGAAATATTAGCCACCAAAATGAAACCAAGACAAGACTCTAAAAATATTTATAAATTGTCCTCATTTATGAACATTAGCATATAGTAGTGAATAGTTAAAGCAAAGGACTGGCTCAGATATAATCTATTTCCATCAACATACTGAAAAGTATCAAAGTCTAGAATATATTTTATAATGATTGAGATGCAATGATTCAAAAAAATTTTGTGTTAAGGAATTTATTAGGAAAGTGTTATAAAAGTATAACAGAAAATTTTTGATCCTTTGAAATAATTTGCAAAAATAAACTATTTACATGGATTAATAATTATTCACCAAATTCTCTTGAAAACATCCCAAGTTCTCATTGAAATCAGTGGACACTCTCTATGAAAGTATACAATTTTCTTGGGAACTGTATTTTGTGATGAGTCCATTTTATCGCAGAAATTACTTATACATATATTAATAGTTACATGTAGCAAATGAAAATGCCCTTATCCAAAACAAATACATAATATCGAAATCTTCTTAAAAAAGAAAACCAGAGATAGAAATAAAATATATCATTCACATTTAGTATCCCACTGAATAGATACACATTTTGTATTTGATTGATACTATGTTTTTCATTTTGGCCATCGTTTGATTATACCTTTGTTTACCTTGCTCTTGTGGTATAAAAGTATTCATAATAACTTAATTTTCATCATATTTATTTGAAAACATCTTTTATCTTGCTCTTGTGGTATAAAAGTACTCATAATAACTTAATTTTCATCATATTTATTTGAAAACATTGTTTAACATCTGCAATCTTTTAAAAAGAATTGTTATCCTAAAATAATTGACCTCATCAATCATTTCAAAGAATGGGTAAAGATACATTTGTGTGAATGTGAATATATTTTGAAAACTTTGTTAGTGTATGCCAAACAAACAGAAATTAAAGGTCAGTTTCTTGCTATGAGGCTCACATACAGTATAGCAAATAACTTCAAATTTTAGTCAAGAGCATTTTTTAAACGTACAGCAAAATACTGCTGTTCTCTCTGAAATTATTCTTTTCTTGACAATGAAATTAAACATTATATGATACTTAGCATTCAGAATGGATGAATTATAAAAGTTCTAGGTACTTTTGTTTAGTTGGAAAAAAACACATTATCTTTGAATTTCTGATAGTAAATAAACAACCTACCAGTTGTTTAGTCAAACTACATTTCAAAATTCATGCTTTAATAAATAAATTTATTCATTCTAGAAAACTTAGCCTCCTATAATGTATATCATCCAATGATATTGCTTTGGATGTGAAATTGGCTTCAAAGTATATGTAAACACTTCTTTTCCCACACACTATTATCTCCAAAAGGAGAGCTTCCCAGTAGTCTAGCACACTAGTGAGCAATCTTAAATTAAAAATGATTGTGCAGATATAGCAGAGGAAGATAACTTATACTAAAGCAGTTTTTACCATCAAACATCTAACAAGTTATAAACCATGAATGAATTTTCTTAAACCAAGGTTTTCATAGTTTCATTATTTTCTGACTGTTTGGGGAGCTAACATCATGCTACCCATTTTACAATATTCTAATGCCAAAATTTGCATTTTGTGACTACTGCATTAACAGTTTTAATTACATATATTATTTCTCTTTGGGAACTAAAATGCTGTAAATTCTTTCTGACTCAAAAGTGCATAAAGTGAATAAGTATATCTCAGAATGAAGATTACAGTATTTAGAGACAAATATACAAATAACTTCTCGTAGCCTGAAAAAAGTGACATATTTTCAAATGTGCACATTAAGTCATAGCCACAATAGAGATTGCTTGTGTAGAATCTAGCTTGCTGAATAAACAATTGTTTAATTGTAGAAACTAATATGAATATTGAGAACTTTTCAATTAAAGAAATTAAAATAATTATAAAATGTATCATTCTCAATATTCCCAATTACTTGCAAGCATTAGTTGGATAATAGCAACAAATGAGTATTTTAAAATGTATATTTTCCAGTTTTATTTCAAATGCTATGTTGGGTAAGAACCTACTCAGAAATTATTTTTAGCCATAGAAAAGGAATGTGAAATAAAGCATGTTCCACAGGACTGAATGAATTAATTGCTCTGTTAGATAATGAATGTTTAGAGAAATAAGCATTAGTGATTATGGCTTAAAGTGCTTGGGTCTAATCATCATTTTGGCTTCTTTAAAAGAGGACTTGTAGCCACTAGGCTGGGCCTCACTTATACCTGGCCAGGTACCCCAGAAAATTCCATTACGGACACCTCTATATTTTTGGTGATAATATTTACCATTTAAGTTTGCAGAAAGACATGCATCAAACCACCACCCTGAACTGTAGTACAGCCCACAGTTCCCAGAGGGATATCGATCATTGTCTCTATCTGGGGTGGTAAAAAACTTTAGATCGTGGTTATAATGTTTACTGAAACGTAAGGCATCTCCAGCTGTTCCATTATAGTTACCAATGTGTAAACGGTATTTGAGAAATTCGTTAGCCACGTAAAACTGATCATACAAGGCATATAGTTTGACACCATTAAAGTCTTCAAGATCTATTCTCAGAATCATTTCCTTACTCTTGGTCAGAAGATGGATCTTATCATTTCCCAGCCAAAATTCTCGCCTGAGATTTCCAAAGCCTGTTTTGTAGTCTTGCCAAGTTTTGGTGAAGTTGGTGCTTCCATCGAGACGAGCTTGTAGCACTGTCCAGCCTCCCCCCATGGTCTCCATGTCACAATACACCTCAAAGCTGCTATTTTTGGGATCAGGTGTAACTCTGTAGGTCTCACTGCTTCTTTTGCCTATTATGTAGTAGTCTGAACAATCTTTATGTATTAGATGTTGAACTGGAGGAGGGAAAAAAGAAAGGCATTGGATTTTATTAAAAAACTACACATCTGAGAAATTCTTTAAATTATGAAACTGCTTTTGTGTATATAATTGCAATAATAAAACCTTGCTCTGCTAAACTTACCTGAACCTGATTATTAAATGTTTGTTAAGGCCTCAGAACAAGAACATGGTTCTATGAAGTAGACAAGACTCTCTAACATACTTTTGTTTGCTAATAATGGTTATAACATCAACAAACAACAATAAGAAAAGAATAAGTAAAGGTAATATTTAATGAGGACTACCTCTAGCATGTTCTAGGCATGCTACCAAAGACTGGATAACATTTTCACATTTAATCAGCATATCAACCTTATAATGTAGTTTTTAATTGCCACTTATGCTTTTTTTTTTTTTTTTTTGATCATAATGATGATGAGGCTTTTTAGGCCCAAAGAGAATCAAAGCCTTGCTCAAGTTCATACAAGCATTTGGCAGAGCCAGGACACAAACTCAGATCTGGCTGTGACAGCAAAGCTTATTCTCATAAACATTGCATTCCTTTAGCCTAAAATTCAGATGATTCCAATTGTCCTAGAACTGCATTCCAGGCATATAGGCTTCTTGTCCCTTTAACCTAAAGGGGCTGATCATTCCTACTATTGGGAAATTTTATTGGACATGTTTCAATTAATGCATTAAGGTTCTAATTTACAGCATTGATCATAAATTCATATTTATTTTAAATAACTATATAAAAAATCTTGTGAGAATGTATTTTTTCAATAATATGCCAATACTATTCTGAATTTATTATATAGGAAAGTACATTTAGCCAGTGTTCCATATGTTTATTTCTAGAAATAAACAACAGGTGATCATGTTCAGGATAAGTGTAATCAGTTAATAGGGTTTTATAGAAATCAAAAGAGAGTTTTGTGACATAAGTTTAATATAAGATATCCAGTGCATAAAAATCTAATCATGTATATTTAGAACTCAGAATATTCAGTTAGTTTCATAAAACTTTTAGGAGAAAAGTGAATAATACCATTTTTCATATCATTACAAGTTACCATATAGCACCATATTTAATATCTACCCAGTGATGTCACCTAAGACATGATGTGCAATGTTCAGAACACATTCAGATATAGGCTGCCAGAAGTATTAACAGTAGTGGTCCTGGAAACCGAGCTACCTTCAGGGGCAGATTCCCTGGGGATGGAGCATGTCTGGTGTACTTGTTCCAAAATAATGTGATAGCTACCATGTTCCCTCAACCTCAGATTTATGGTAAGCAGAAGTCCTAATGCAGATATGGCTTTGCAAAGTATAATAAGACCAATAAGACCAGTAGCAATGGTCTCTGGAGTCTAGGTGGAAAGCCAGAGTTTGGCAGGGAACCAATGCTACTATAAGTTCATTGATAGAATAGGCAAGGCTGTTGTCTTTAACATGTTTATTAAAGTTCAAGTAAAGTGGATGGTGAGGATGGGTTCTATTAAATGCTTGAATGGTGGCAAAATGTTAAAAAATATTAATAAGGAAACTTCCCTTAGTGGCCTGCCAAAATTCTCCCCTAAAACACAGGTCTAAAGAAAATCATTTTGCACACACATGAAACTGCTTTTATTCCGTCTGTAAAATCTCCCATTTTCACTAGCTATTTGAAGTTAAGAACTTCAGATCATTTCTAAATCTTCTATGGATCACTTGTTGCTACATGAGAAGTGGCAGTCAGCCAACCACAAGAAAAATGAATTTTTAATGAACAAAGCACAATCACAGCACTGCCTTATCTTTTGTTTTCAAACACTTGAGTAAAGAGATAGACTGCACTAAAACATTAAAAAATTCTGTGCTTCTGTTTGTGTGTAGGTCTGGCATTTTTCAATTTCAAGTAACACCTTGAAATTGAAAGTGCTTCCTAATGGATATAGAGCTAACGACTTTTGTAATCAGATTATATATCATTTCTGTGGTACATTAGAGAAAACATTTTTTCCCCTCTGGATTACTTTAACGAATAGAATAGATGTTTGTTTAATCCAACTATTTAACTTATTCACGTTGGTTAATGTTTATAGATACTGACTTACTACCTCACATTCATGAACAAATGATAAGAAAACAGCATACATACTTAGCGGTGACTGGATTTGTTCTTGGCTGGGACACTTCGATGAACATTTGCCATCCAAACTATTGACAACAGATGTTAGATTTGCCACCTTGCTGTCAACATAATTTTCTACGTTGTTCATATTTACAAGATTCAGCTTCTCCAGGCGGCCGTGAAGCACATCGATCTGGTCTTTTGCACTCTTTAACTCAGAGGACAGCTTGTTCACCTCGCTCTCAAGTTCTTGAACTCGATTGTCACCAGCCTCTCCCGGGGCTCCTGTGCTGGGGAACAGTAGTCCATTTCTGCCCGGTTCTCGGTTGTCGTCAGCCTGCAGCTTGCAGTCTTGGCAAGTTTTCTTCAAGCTGTTTACAATTTCCTTGAGGTTCTGGACCTCTTTGAACACCTCCTGGATCCTTCCGAACTGCTCCGGGAGCTGGATAGCCAGCGGTGGCAGGCTCACCTGGAAGGGGCACTCGCCTGCCTCGCATTTCCCTCTGCTTTCTAATCTCACCGGGCAGGCGTCCTTTGCTCTTTCATCTTTAATTTCCTCTGTTTCATTGTTTGCAACGACCAAGAAACCATAAGCAGCGAGGACAGCTGAGCTCAGCCAGTACCAGTCAGGAAGCTTCATCTCTGCGCGGCGCTCACCCCAGCAAGGAAGCAGCGCGCCCGGCCCCAGTGCTTTAACAGGGACAGCCGCCTGAGTCAGGCTTTCTGCATTTCCAGAAAAGGGCGGGAGCTTTTGCATCACTAGTTTCAGAACCGCACAGGAAGAGAAAATGGTCCTCACCAAATGCCGTTTATCCAGCACTAATTTATTCTCAGCCAAAATAATATACATCAGAATTAACAAAATATATACATTAATCTGTGGGATGTGCATATTTGCCAAGATATACTTTAATGACTTATTTTATAAAGCACAAGCTTATTTTACTAAGCCTTTAATTTCAAAATAATTTGTTATGCGTGAAATAGACCACTTAATTATACCCAACTCCATTGGAAACAAATAGTGTTAAAAGATAAGTATTTATGTGTTAGTTACTAAACTGTCTGAAGAAGAAATACATTACTAAAGTGGAAGCTGTCCTTTTTTAAAAATTAGATTGGAGCACTGAAGACCTCTAATTTTCTCCATATTGGGCTTTCAGGTGAAATCTTAAACACTTTGAAATGTTTCTTAAAAAAAAAAAATAGAACAAAGCACAGCTTTCTGGCTCTTTGCAAGAAGACTTTGTTTCATCCATTTGTAAAAGGGAAGAAATTGATGGGGGCGTGGGGGGTGGGATGCTGCCTTCTCCTTTTTTCAACCATAGAATAGTGTATGCAATTGTCTAACTGGCTAAAACACATTCAAAATCGAACATTGTATTTTATCAAAATGAGTAGCTGCTTCTTTTGCCAGTTTTGTAATTGCACTGTCACCTTTCACAGTGGCTTAAATGTGAATCACCCTCCCATTCCTGTCTCTCTCTACATGTGTCTTCTAACTTCTTTTCCACAGGGAGCCCTGGCTGATAGGCCTCTGTTGTCTGCCTCTATGGTGGGTTCCACCTGCTTTCTAGGCCATATAACAAGTCACCTTGTCCACAACATGTCAGCACTCACAGCAGTAGTTTTCAAACTCTTCTGTTCAGAGGCTGAGGGGCAAGAAGGGGGACTGGCTTCAATTACAGAAACCACCTCCTTTTAAATAATTATACCCAAATAGTTTTGCACATTGGTGTCTCATAAGATTTCCTCCTCTTCTCCCCAACCCCAAACTCCTCCTTGTTCTTCTTCTTTTTAGTTGTAGATTAGATGAAAACAATACCTTTATTTTATTTGTTTTTATGTGGGGCTGAGGATCAAACCCAGTGCCTCACATGTGCTAGGCAAGTGCTCTACCACTGAGCCACAACCCCAGCCCAGATTTCTTATTTTTCAAAAAAGTATTTTATGGCTTTTAAAATGATTTCAACACTACCTGTATAGAAAAATTCCAAATTCTTTTGTATCAGTTAAGGCACACTGTAAATCTATCTCATATGTTTCTTTAACCTGACTTCTTATGACTCTTCTATACACTCCCTTCATCTGTTCATGTTCTAGAAATCTGCCAGACTCCTTTTCTGCTTTCATGATATGCTTACTCCTGGATATACAGGAGACTGGGTATTTAAACCCTGAATTACTTCTTCTGGATACACAGATAGTTAACTTTACTTCGCATCTGTTCCAGTATGGTAAAGGAGGAATTTATATATGCTTTGCTCATACAAGAATGAGACATACACAAACTTTGAGTGCTTAAGGAAAAAAGACAATGTATAAATGTAACATTCTTTCCAAACATTTGTCAAGCATATTCTACACACCTTATGTCTCATTTTACCATCTAAAAAGTCTGGGTATCCTTTGGGAACTGGCTCTTGTCCCTTTAGGATCCTCAGAAAATTCCCCAAATGAAAGTAGAAAACTGCTATATTTATTTCACTGACACTGATACATGATCCTCTGGATTCTCAATTTTAAGTGTTTTGCTTTCAATAGGTTGAATTTTAAGTATTGACAAACTACCAACTAGAAATATCTAGTAAACAAATGTTGAGATATGAAAATCATCACAGCATAGCTGGGGATGTCAATTTGAAACTACAGGTGCAAAAGGATTATTGAAGAAATAAGGCACAAACCAAGAGAATGCAGTGTCAGAAAGATAGGAGAAAGAGTTTCATGGAGGAGGCCATCAGAAAATCAAAAACTAAAACGTTCACATCCTTGTCCTCAACTCCTATGGAATTCTCTGCCCTCTGTCATTGACTTTCTGCCTGCTCCCTCTTGCTAGAAAGCTTTCTGGATTCTCTCACTCAGTCCGCCCTGATTCCTGGTGTTGACTACTGATTGCTCATGGCAGTATCAGAATCTTCCCTTCTACCCCAAATCTGCCCCAACCCAGCATTGACACATTTTGCTCACTTACAGAAGTGTTTTTCCTTCTAAACAAATTATTTAACTGTATTACATGGTGAACTTTTTTTTTTTTTTGTACCAGGGATTGAACCCAGGGGTGCTTAACCACTGAGTCACATCCCCAGCCCTTTTTATTTTTTATTTTGAGAAAAGGGCTCACTAAGTTGCTTAGGGTCTCACTAAGTTGCTGAGGCTGGCTTGGATCCTCCTGCCTCAGCCTCCCAGAATTCTGAGATTACAGGAGTGCACAACCATTCTCTGGCCATGATGAACTTTCAAAGTAGTAAGATTTGCTTTTATAAAAACAAATATGAAAATTACTTTCATCAGTCTATATTCATAACATATTCAGGGTTATTTTTCTATACAAGATACATTTGAGAGAGGATTTGCACTCTCTATATCTGAATAATATCCTAAATTAAATTTTCATTTTCCCTAGTATAGTGTTTTTTTGAAGAAATATTTCTATTTGTACCAAAAGTATAAGTAAATTTAATGGAAATTATTTATAGTATTGAGATTCTTTCATTGATATTAAGCTGATTAACTTAACATTTATAGTTTCTGTTATTAAATTCTGAAGCGCTAATTATTCTTTAGGGCATATGTGCTTTTCTGATAAGAAAACTAAAACATTCACTTTTTAAAATTACTTGATTTTAAAAGATAGCAGTAAAAAATGTTTAATATTCCTTAGGGGTCTTTTCCTTATAAATTTCATGAAAGGAACTTTAAACAAAATTCTGATTTCAGCAACCCATAGAGAGAATATCGAGGTTTGACTGTATATTGTTATAAAATTCATGGCTTTAAATTATTCCGAAATGTCTATACATTTATTCCAAACTAAAATGGTTATTTGATTTTATTGTTTTAACACTTGTGTTAAATATATGTAAATATAGATTTAGAATATAATTCCACTTATTACCTTAGGGTTTTATTTGTTTTGCCTATATTTGGCATTTTATAATAACATATAAACATGAATTTATATAGCCTATAGCATGTATATATATGTTCCATAATGTTTGTGGAATTTGGGTTGTAGCTCAGTGGCAGAGTGCTTGCCTAGCATGCATGAGACCCTGGATTCAATCTCTGGTACCCCCCCCCCACACACACACACACACAAACACTCACACAAAAGGAAAAAGAAGAAAAGAAAAAAATTTCAGTTCATTCATAAAAATAGTGTGCTCCTAAAAACTAATTATGGAAAATTAAAAATTCTATACTGCTAAAACAAATTTTATGTGAAATGTGTCTTTTAAATGCCTATCCTTACACTCTTTGAAACTAGTTTTTAAGAGTTCTAAGTTTATGTTTTAAAATATGTATGTCAGCATGTGAAACTTTTATCAAGTTTAAAGGCCATCTCCACTGTGCCAGTAATTAGGAAATTTTATGAAATGAAATATATGTAGTTTTTAATGGTCAAGCTTTGAAACAGAATGATAGTCCCTCATTCAAGGTCTTCTAAGAAATTTTTTTAAACATGATTTAAAGTATTTATCATTATGCAGTGTGGCATCTTTAGTTTATTTCTTATTCTGCTTCTAGTTTGATATTATCTATGCTTTGAGTCATTTCCTGTTATTTGCAGTGAAAACTTTTCAAAGTAAAAGAAACCACTCATGATCATTATCAACAAAATAAAACTGACCTTTGTTTTAAACTAGTTCTGATTATCTGTTACAGCTTCCTCTGCTTGTGGATTTAACACAGAATTATTTTGATGTTTACATGTATGAATGTCACATGTGCTTTGACAACTGTTGCAAAGTTCAACTGCAACAATTGTTGTTTCACCAGAAAGATTTCAAAATAGAAAAATTATACCAGTTGAATGTAAATATAGATTTAGAATATAATTCCACTTATTACTGTGACCATTCAAAAAAAATACCAAGATATTGGGCTGGGGATGTGGCTCAAGCGGTAGCGCGCTCGCCTCGCATGCTTGCAGCCTGGGTTCAATCCTCAGCACCACATACAAATAAAGATGTTGTGTCTGCCAAAAATATAAAAATAAATATCAAAATATTCTCTCTCTCTCAAAAAAAAATTACCAAGATACAACAGAGTGAAAAGGGCTTTAGATTGGTAGTCATTGAACCTGAGTTCTCAGTGAAGAAACACTGACTCTTACTGTTGAACAAGGGCTTAGGGAAGCAGGCCGTGGTTTTGTCATATGAGAAAGTCAGATTAGAGATCTGTAAGGTCCTTTGCAGCTGGTACATTTTATGACACTGAATGTTATTAATTAGAAGTCATATAATAGCAGAGCAGATCATCAAGATGTAAACACAAATACAGTCTGTCCTTAAATCATTAACTCCAAGAGAAAATCATGAAGATGTACTTTTTTTCCATTTTTTTTCTGTTGTAGATGTACACACTGTATTTGTTTTATTTATTTATTTATTTTTATGTGGTGCTGAGGATCAAACCCAGTGTCTCACGCATGCGAGACAAGTGCTCAACCACTGAGCTATAACCCCAGCCCAAGATGTACTTCTTTTTAGCTATTTTTCCATTCAATGATTATTTTACATTTATTGAATCAGGCTCTCTAGAATCCCTGGGGTTAACAAGGATGGAAAAAACCAACACATCTCTCACTTCATGGAGCTTGAAGTTACAGAGCAATGAGTTTCAAGCCAAGCCAATCTTGAGTAAAAGCTGTTCAGCCTTTGAGTACGGTTCAGTAAACACAACTTTCCCAAACCCCTCA